ACGGCCTGAAGTGAATGACCGAAAACAGCTGTTTGCCAACACGACTTTTCATCATATATTTGATGATGGATCGGGTCGTGCATCCGAAACGTCAGGTTACCAAATTATTATTCCAGTAATCGCAGCTACGTTTCCTTAGAATGTGCTAGCATCTGTGCTATAAAGATATATCTCATGTGCATCATCTACCGAAGGGGAAGAATAAGAGGGGTCAATTTCATGGACCGAAGTATGTTTTGACTGACGTTTCAAAAACACCCGCGTTTCCATCGTCAGAGTACCGTGCTCACTCCGGGCCGGGGCCAACAGCCGACACCCACGGAGAAAGACAGCGGCAGCGATCTAGAATCCTATGACCGGCGCGGCACGCCTTGTAACGGACGCACCCCTGCAGCCGACAGCGCTGCGAGCGAACTCCAACGACCGATCGATTCACGGCGTGGCGATGAGGAAGCCGAGGATAAAGCTGTCGCCGCGTCAATCACGATAGTGGCGCAGGGAACAAAGGGAAAACGGACCCGCAAAAACTTCAGTGTCAACCAATGGCCACTAGGCAGGCAAACGCACGTGCAGTGAACATGGATATAACACGATGCTGGCGGCAAGGCCATTTTACTCAAGGCCCACGGAGGACTAAGCAGAGTACGCTGACAATGGAAGCGAGTATGCTTTTGAAACATCAGCCTAAGTACAGTTTGGTCTCAGTACTCGCACCTCTTCTTCTTCTTCGTCTTCGGAAGATGATGCACGCGATATGATGTCTGGATCTCGAATCTTCGCGCCTATTGACATATTTTTGCACTTTATTTTATATTTGTTCATCTAAAAGTTTCAGCTAACACATTCTCTAATTATATGAAACAGAATATTCAATTTCTGAACGTGATTAGTACACTTACACTACTGGAACCTCAGCTTAGGTCAACAAATCCATAGTTACAGATGTTTAATGGCAGTTCATGACCAGCCATGTAGTTTTATAAGGTATTCGTTCACATTTGTTACATTATCTTCAGCATTAGTCCGACTGAATGCTGGTTTGTTTAGTCGCGTTCAGTTTCCTTTCTGAATGCCTACACTGCCTGTTTGCTATGGCCAGCAATAGTCACAGGGAGATTCATATCGCCAAAACAGAAAGCATACTTAAATGAATTTAATAAACTCTCCCATTTACAGATAGGCGCAGGACTGGCTAGCCTGAATCTTCTAATCCAGCAGCAACCAGCGACGGCTGCTGACCAAGCGGAAGTGAGTCTACAAAATGCAACTGAACTTCAGTCGATGCCCATATCTGAGGCTGCCGCCAGTCCAAACGTGTAAGGAAACGTTTTTCCTACTGCGATCTTCATGCTGAATATCCAGTATATTCAGTCAAATGAGAATATATTATGCTACTTAACGACAATCATACTTGACAGTAGCATCGGTCCGCATTTTTGTCGCAGTCTTCCAGTACCACTTTTGGCACGTTCTAACTTTTAGAAACAAAGAACATTATGAAACGCCGTCAGTACGTCTGAATTACCAACCAGAGACCACGACGCAGGAGGCTCCGGGGTCAGGCCTACCCGGTCAGCAACATCAGCATCAACAAACATATTTGCAAAATATTCCGGCTGTTGATGAATCACACAAGGCTCTCGAATTGTATGTGGATGGTTTAAGTGCTGATATCGATGCGGACACGTTAAGGACCTACTTCGCAAGCTTTGGGGAAGTGCTCGATGTGGATATATCTGTGGATGCCCCAACAGGCCAATCCAGTGAACATACCTACATTACACTGCGAGCGACAGTAGATACGGACCAAATCCTGAAAACAAAACATGTTGTACGTGGAGTGTCGATCAACGTTGAGGAGTTTTATTCATCCGACGATTCTACAAAGAACGCACAAAGGTAAGTTCACAAGAGTAGAGTTTACTTATTTGTACATGCCCTGTTCACACCGCATTTTGTGGCCGCATTGTGAAAATGGCTCAGCGGATTGACATTTCACGCGATCTATGCTTTGTTGGCACCAGTAGATTAAAGCAACTCTAAATATCATTAGCACCAGTCAGCTGTATGAAAGAGAGTGTTATATTTCATTACAATGTAGCTGCCAGTAATTAAAATTACTATTTTGTCTTACTGATAACTCCCTTAGTTTCGCAGAGATCCCTAAACAAGAGCACGAAGTTTTGGAACAACTGCCTCCGACTTACCAATTAGAAAACGCGGAACAAAAGGAGCCCTGTCTAACTGAAACCCTTCAGGAGCAACAGCTGCCGTCTTCGGAACAACACCACGATTTGCAAATTCAGGAGACTGTCTGCCCACCACAAAAGCTACTCGAGTTGTACGTTGATGGTTTGAGCGCTGCAATCACCTCGGAGAACTTGAAGATCCACTTTGAACAATTTGGTGAGGTGCTCGACGTAGACATGTCTGGGGATGACTCAACGAACGCGCCCAGTGGAAATGCCTACATTACACTGCAACCGACGGGAGATCCCAACAAAATCCTCGAAACAGAGCACGTTGTATGCGGAGTGCCGATTAGACTTGAGGAGTGTTTTTCATCCGACGATTCTGAAAATAACTCAGAAAGGTAGAGCTTGCTAGCGTTGACGTTTCATGTTTGAAATTGCGCTTACTTTTTGCAAACAACTACTGGTCGTGTTAGGGCATCAAAATGTACTGTTGATTTCCTGAAGTGTAGGTACCGGGCCTATAATTTTTTTTAAACCACTGCACTGCACATTTTGATGAATATGGTGCCAAACCCATGTGTCATCGTAGTAACTGAGTTCACAATGTTGCAACACATTCAGTTATTCAGATTTAGCGTTTTCGGTGAAATTTAATCAAAAAATGGAAATATTCCTGATCTTAACCGTAGTTGTTTTAGCAGTGAGCGCATGCGTGAGCCCTGATGCCTTTCAAGATGCACTTTGGTTCCGTTATGCTATACTTTCACTGAACCTCACCCTATATTAATTCGGGCTAATGAATGGTGATTTATGTATATAGACGGTCCTCCCTAATGCTTCAGCGATAGGCGGTAAAGTAATACCATATCGTCTGCAGAACAACCGCGAATATCCTTCCTGCTCTTTGTGGATGCTTTGGATGCCAGAAGCCGCGCAGAAGCATTGTGAAACTCTTTTGCGCACTTTTGAGGAATTATAGATATATATCTGCCCTTGTTTCTGCTAATACACTGCCATTTAAGAAATGACATCAATATTCTGTACAGACATCAATATGCAATACAGAAGTGTTACCGATGTTATCTGCGTGAAAATTTGCCAGTACAATTCAATTTTCCGAAGACCTTTCTTTTCATAGTTAAATTTTTTCGGGACAAATTTTACTACCTGACCATTTTGCTAACTCATCAACAAAATAATACGTCATTGTGCACCGTTGGGCAGTACGTTTTACTATTCACATGAATATCTTTCACTGGAAGGCCAACGATCATTTCTACTGGTCGTCTTTACCAGAACTACAGTGTTTGCTGAAATGTTGGTCCTTACATGGCTTACTCAAGGAATTTCTCACGAAGTTAAGGGCATTAATTTCATATCAAATGTTATCTTGCACGCCGCGGGTAAAAAGAATTCGTAAATCGATTTCAAGGTTGCACGGCAACAAATTCAAACGCAATAAGAGTAGAAAGTAGAATAGGGAATCGTCTAGTTTTATTACCGAACTAAGATTCATTTGCATTCGCAATATCTCCTCCAATTATGGTACGTGCAAATTCTAGTACAAATGAAGAACGTCTTCAACGTAAACTGCACTCAGCAAATGACAAAAAAATTGCGGGCATCTTTTGTCTTAAATGCTGCCGATCTATGCCCTTAAACCCGGCCTGTGAAGGAAAGTCCACTACGATTAATGTCATATAACGGTTAATTCGATCCTAGATAGAAGTCGATTAAGAATATATAAATACCGAAAGAGGACTTGCATTCAGTCATTTCGGAGTTGATTAATAGGTAGTTGAACAAAGCCCCTGGAGCCCCTTCAGAGTTCTCGCCGCCGCGACATCCAGATATGCTCATCAAAAATCAAATCCCCCGTAATCTTAGCTGATATTAGACGTTTAGACCGTATACTAAGGCGATGAAAGATA